AATATGACGAATAATACAAAAATAATAAGTTCTTATCATAACTAGAGCTGTATATAATTTAAAAGCATAAAAAAAGACTACATTCATACCCCTCTTAAAATTCTACACTTTTTTACAGAAGCTTGTACAGATAATGATGCACCGTTATTATCGCATGAGATTATTCTAGCATTGGAATTTTCCTGAGGCAAGGAAAATACAGAAATGTGCTGTCTACATAATGTTTGAAGGCCTAAATGTTTTAGGAAATACAAACAACAAGGAGCTATTACAGTTTGAATCAATGGAAGTAACTGGAAGCAGTTCTGTTTTAAATGTGACAGCCTGCAAGAGTCGAATTGCATTTCATTGCCCATTATGAAAAGGGATAGCATTTTCAGCTAGAATTCTGAGAAAGCATTTTTACAAAGGTTCTTTCTTTTCAGAACACCAACTTCCATTGCTCCTTGAAAATCAACTGATTTCACACATGTATTTTATTTTGCCCGCAAATAAAGAACTTTTTTAATCAACGTAAGCCAAAGAATTCTTTAGTCTTTGTATTCTAAATCAGCACTACAATCTACAAAGTGAGTAATTCACAAAGAAATGCTCTAACTTTGCAAATTTGCAGTAAGGGTACAAAACTTTTAATTTAATTAATTGAAAAATATACTGTATTTTATTAGATACATATTTTACTCAACAAAGGCTATATAAAATGTTATATTTCATTACTTAACATAGTCCTCTCAATCACTATTGATCTACAAAATTGGCAATATTTTTAAAATTTTTATAACTGAATCTAGAAACAATAATATTAGATCTAGAAACTATTCTGCAAAAACCTTTTTCAAGCACTCTTTGTTATGCAGTAAACCAGTAAAAAATAAACTTCTCTTTCCATATCTCATGATAAAACTCAAAAACCTGCTTCAAAGCCTGCTTTCACATGTAAAATACCTGAAATTTCTTAAGGAACATTTACTTCATATTAGAACAAATATGAAAGTACTCAAATCTTTCTGTTCTTGGGGAAACAAACGCAGGATGCAATTAAGAATTTTAGCAATTTTTCTTCATCAGCACTAAATATGTACAGAACGGGCTCGCTTCTTGGAAGCTTTCATGTTTTCCTCACATGTAATGTGGATACAAGCCAGTTTCCCTTAGAAAGTAATAAACAAAAACATTTCTCCCTTAGGCAAATAGCTTTTGTGTGTTTAATAAGTAATCCAGTCTAGACTTACTCAGCCATTGGTTGCTTTGAAACTATTCAACTAATGGTCTGTAAAATGAGTTGAACAAGAAATGCATAAAAAGTTAGTTCATTTGAATCTGGCAAAGCACATTAGGGCTACCTTCCAAAGGGAAGCAATGCCAGCATGGAAGACTTTCTAAGGGAGACTGACTCATATTCAAGTTACACATGAAGAAATCACAAAAAAGAACCATGCAGGAAGCCTGTCTGGTTGGGATCGAACCTGGATTAAATGATCTTAAACAAGATATTCAAAGGTCTTAGTCACTCAAAATGCATAAAAAGTTTAGTTTTAATTTGCTATACATTTAATTTCACTCAAGCTTTTCACTACTATGCACTAAAGTTCAGATGCTTGAAAAAATGGGGATATCCAGGAAATTAATAAATGATTTTGCAGAAATGAAACTAGCAAGACACAAATTTTAATAAATCAGGATTTTTAATATTTATATATAGTAACTTTTATCATCATTTTTATTAATCACACTGCAGAGTTGTTAGGTTTGTAGAAGCAGGCAATATGAAAAACAAACAATGTCCTCATTAGGATTTGAACTCCAGACATCCCAATGGTAGTCGAACAACCTTTCCAATTACACCATGAGGGCATGGATTAATGAGGAGAAAATACCTTACAACATTAGTCAACCAAAGTATTTCCTTATTTGCTAACAAAATTAGAGCCGATGGAAAGAAAAAAATTTAAGGACACAGAGGAATTAAATGAACAGGGACGGGACAACTATTGTAAATATGTCGTTTATAAAAAAATTAATTATTAATAGAGATTATCCCCTGGAAACAAAAAGAAAAAAGAAGCTATTGTAATATATACTGATAAAAGATGACTGGAATTATAAAACTAGTACGTAATCAATATAGTTTGAAATCCAATCAATAAAACTTGCAGAAAACATAACAAAATAATTTTTAGTAAGTATTTATGGCTGATTTCATGGAAAATACAAACTTTCAAAGGGAATTAGACCAGCTCTATAAAATCACCAACAATTATCAGATCTGATCAGGTTTCATCTGTCTCACATGCCTGAATGCAATTAAATCTAATTTAATCCAAAGAAATATTCAATTTTAATTAAACTAATTCAACTTATTTTCATACATATCAAGGAAATTCTCTCTTATAATCCAATTTAAAAATAAAAAACGATTTTTCAGGTAAATATTAAATAAAATGAAATGCTGCTCTATACATGAACCAAATTATGCAAAAATTAAACATAAAAATTAATCTTCTAAATTATACGTTGTTGAAAAATTTGTTTATGAATTTTCCAATATAAATCTTTGTTTTAAGGTTAGACAATACATTTTATACATTGAAGAAGGGCTTATGTTTATTTTTATTTTATTAATTTATTTTTGTAAATTTCTGAGTAATTCATATTTTGAGCTAAATAAATTATGGAGCAAAATTTATATAATTTCTTTCTAGCATGTTTACATATTACTGTCAGCCTGTCTATTAATCTGTAACTTAACCAGTCATTTCTGGTTTCTTAAATATAGTAAATAATAATAATTAGAACAAAGAAACCTTAGATTTGTGCAAATTTCATATAAAATTCAAAATAAAATTTTACGTAAAATCTGCTAATGTAATTCTTCTTTCTTTAACTTTTAATATTTTGCATGTTTCCTCTTAATTCTGTATTTTGCATGGCATTCTTCTTTTATTTAGAGATTACTTATTTGTCCCTGATATATTCCTGACGAAAGAAAAATCTCCCCCCTTTTGATTCTGCTTTTTACATGGCATGCTTTATTCTCTAGAGATTATTTATTTCTCCCTAATATATTCTCGATGAAAGAAAAATCTCATAAAAAATCTGATCCCTCAAAGCAGCAAAGTTGGATTAAAAATCAAGTGATGACAGGAATGAGGCTTCAGTTTTCACTCTTTGTAGACTTAAAATTAGATAAACAGAAAAGAGAAGGAAGAACACATCATAATTTTTTTCTTACAAATAATTCTATAATGTGTTTTCCACCTTGGTATCCCATAAGCATGTGATTACGTTGCTTAATAATTAATTCAGCTCCCACCAAATTCATCATCAGTGAAAAGCCATTAATCCCCTCTTTTTTTTTTTTTTTTTTTCTGGAGCGCTGTAAATCATGAGGTGTGGAGCCCAGAAATATGTTTTGGCATAAGGGGCATGAACTCTACTTACACCACTCATGGTAGTTGGCCATAAATTATGCCAAGTACTTTTTATAATATCTGAAGAAACATCCTTCCTTGACTCTACAATGCTTTTTAAAACAGCAGATTTTATATTAAAATATTTCAAAACTTCTTGAATAGTCTTGCCACTGTTCAGAAAATATAGATTTTAAAGTTACTTTATATTTGAAATACAGCATGCTCAGCACTTTTATATCCATTGGCTGAATGATGGATGTGACGGAAAGAATGAGACGGAGATGTTATCTTTTACTAAAACTTTAGGTTCACAATGAGCCAAACATTTGTCTACAATCAGAATAGTTTTTCTGTTATGTAAGCCAACCAATTTCTATGTTGCCAAAGATGTATGAAATGATTTTTGTTGTCCTCCATGCTTGTTTATTTAAACCACAGATAACAGGGAAAATCTTCACGCCTTTACCTCAAGCAATGCATCTTTTCTGACTAGGAAAAGTTGACATTTCTGCACTCCTGCAGCATTTGCACGTGGGAAAATCAGCAGTCTCACTTTGGAATCTGACACCAGATGAAATTCGTTTTGCAGATGTAGCAAGCTATTTCAGGGCACATGTTCCCAGAAAAGACCAGTATTGTCAATATAGTAACTTTCTTCTGGAGAAAATTTTTTGCTATTAATGAGTTTGAGTAATTAATCTGCAAACTGTTCATGTGTGTCTGCATCACCTGAAACCCTTTCCCCCAAAATTTTAACTGCTTTAGAACAAAGCGATTTTTTTTTAAATTTGATTAAACAGCATGCACATTATGAGCACTCAGATTTTTAAATCCATTTTCTGCTGAAATATTCTGGCTTAAGCCCACCCATGAATTGAATGAATACAGCATGAATTAACATATGTTCAAAATTGAGGCATATTGATACAGTTGCTGCCAGTCAAACCAAATACACAAAATAGTGATATTTTTTACCTCCACAAGTCAAATAGCCTGTAATTTCAGTCAGTTCACCCTTTTACATTATATTATTCAAATCGTATGATTTTGGTATCTATTGTTTCTCATGGTGTTGCATTTTGGATCGCCAAAAGTGTAACTCATCACATTTTATTTCTGAGCCTCCATCATTTACCTCAAGCAAGTACATCAATCACTTCACCTTTGGCACACCTCAGTTACATAAATAATAAAACTATTAGTGTTTTTAATTAAAAACTCGCATATGATTTCTGCCATGTATGGCAAAACAAAAACTTTTTAAATGCCAGTTTATCTCAGAACTGAGATATGGTAAAGCAATTCTACATTTAAGTTCCTTACATTAAATCCCTCAAAAGCCCTACAATTAAATAGGTCACAGGAAAGTTTTCATAAATTGTGATCAAGAAGTATGATTGAATTAAATTACTGATGAAATAAGTCTCAAACAAAAACTGTACAAATACATATTAATTTCAAATCATTCTGAACAAAACTTGAAATGTAGCTTTATAGTGGCTCAATATGCCTGGTAATAAACATATCCTGAATTTGCAATAAAATCAGTAATATTATTTAAGATATTATATCATGATTATGAAGTACCTCCAGTAAGTCATCAACCTTTTCTTCAGCTTCACATCTTTCAGCACTTAATTTAGATGCTTTAAAATACAGGTAGTTTAACATGAATCCTTTCTTTGTTGTATTCCAACAACTCCGTGGTATTTCAACCAGCCCATAACCTTCAAGTAAAACCAGAAGAAAAAGACCCCATGTATTGCTTGCAGTAATGCATACAACCTTTAAATTAGACCTGAAATACAAATATTTGAATGATACATCAAATATAAATAAACTTCTTGTATATTTTTCAAAGGCGAAAATTTTCTTCAGAAAAATATATGACAGCTATGAATAAAACACAGTGTAAAATTTCTCATTTATTAACAAGTTTCAGTAAGTCTTTGGTGAAGATGGTTCTTGCAAACGGCACAGGGATTTAAGCATACTATTATTTTACATAAGCATGACAAAAAAAAAAGCCCTTATGGTTTAAAATAAATGCGAATATAAGAGAATTAGTATTGTAGTGACAAAAGCATATTCATTTTAATTTTAGAATATTAAAAAAACAATAATCAGTTGGGCATAAATTTGCAAAATTTCTTGCATTAAATATTTGCTTAAATTTTTAGTAAACTACAGGCCAATGATTCACTAATGCGAAATTCTGTCAATCTTGAATAATCATTTTCAATTACAGGGTCATGAATGAAATTTTCAATATGCACCTTTGAGGAATTCTAGCTAATGGGCAGGATACTGTGTACATTTACATGATTTGTACACATTTCTTTTCATGGAAATTAAAGACTTTTGTAAATTTTTAAGGACTATTAATGAAAAAAATTAAAAGACCTTTAAGCAAACAAAATTGAGGAAATTTCAGAAATTATCAATGGAACTACATTCACTCTTGCAATACCACTCTAAAACAAAAACATGTAGAAGGCAGCATTATTAAGCAAAATGCAATATTTAACATAAACATAAAAACGAGTTTGAAGCTGTTCGGCATGACGACTCGCCATACTCTTGGGTTAAGCCACTCAGAAAAAGGCATGGATAAAGGGTATAAAATGTTTATGCAATGGAAGCACTTAAACAGTATTGAGCTGAACGTTCTCTTGAGGGGTTTATGGTAGAGGAAGAAGGGTGAAAGACCCCGAGGTGTTCTCCCCCAAAATTAGGATGGAACTTCCTCTTTCTTGCGAATGTAATTCAGGCATCACCTCGGCAACATCATCAGTGTTAAGATGGCTAAATGACAGATGCGTTTTGGCCAGTCCCAGCAAATGCATTAAGTTGCAGGTATCTGGACATTTTAAATAACAGTAGCTTGCAAATAAAAATAACTCTGTACAACTTTTCAAGTAACTAACATTAAATTACAAATATTTTTTTAAAACAATAATATTTTACATGTATAATTGTCAAACACATTTTAAAGGAGATTTATATGGTCACAATTAATTTCTTTTTTAAAATTATTTGCTAAAAGAAGTATTATTTAAATCCTAATCTAAGGAAATTTTGCAGTTTAAAGTAACAGATAATTACACCTAAATTTATTAAGCTTATTTCTAAAAATATTAAAACAATTATTTACTACATGTCCATAACACCACAAATCATTTCTCTCTTTTTAATCTAAAAATTTTTCAGTTTGTTTAACTTATTTAGATCTATTTCTTTCTCTTTCACTACATTTCTAAATTTATTTGCTTTAACAAACAAATCAAGATTTTTATTAGTCTCTGCATCACCTGCAACAGTAAATCCAAATTTGTTAATATCTTCAACATCTGTTTGGAGAAGAATTTCCTTCTGCTTTATTCAATCAATTTCATTCTCGGTGAGTTTTAGCTTCATCTCTGAATTCTGACTTGGTTAAATTCTTGTTCTAAAAAACAGTGATTATTTATAACGAGAAGTTTCTAATCTTATTTCTTTACTAATTTCAATATTGAAAATAATTTTAGAAAACTTTATGAAATTATAGTTTCATGAAGTTTTATACAGACACATACGGTGAATCTTTTAAATAGTCAATTTCCATTACCTTCATAACAGAGAAATTCCTTTCTAAAGATGCCTATCCATATGACAAGATTCAAAAGAATTTTGCAATTTTCCACACTTTTAACTGAAGAAAATCACAAAATAAAAGAAGAGAAAATAAAGAAAAGAAAAAAGTGTCAAGAGAAAGAAATTTGGAATCAAAAGTAGAAAAGGTAATTCCTTATTACTACATACCACATATTAAAATGGCATCAACAGCCTTCTTGTAATTGAACTTCTTGTTGAGTACTGTCTTGCTACTTGAGTAGGTTGTGAAAGCGGCAACCTTACTCTAAGCTCTTCACAAACTGCTGCCCGCAGTACTAAATACAGTCACAGTCCTCCTATCAGCAGAAAAGCCATGAGTAGGGTTGCCGCTTTGATACAATCCATTAATATGAGAGCTCTTGGCAATGTTTAAATAATGGAGGCCCTAATAATAAGACAGTATCACAGATAATTTTACTTTTAATACTTTTTTCTGAGAATTCTCCAAATACCATAAAAAACTTCAGTTTCCTGCAAAACACATCTATCCTGTGTATACCATTATTACATTTTTCACTTCATCAAATTTTCAGTATTTTTTACCAAATAAAATACCTGCCAACTTTGTAAAAATAAAAATCAAAAGATTTTTGAAAAATGTTTGGAAAGAAGCATAAAATGAATTTTACAGTGAAAGCTAACACATATCTGAGTATTTTGGAAGAATGACAAAGGAAAAAACACTTATGAAAAGTAAAACAAACCAAATTAATTTATTATTTATGTTATTCATTTATTTATATTAGTTTTATGACATCATAATAACAGTATATAATTATATCTTTTAAATAATCACTATGGCATTCACAAACCACCAAACTGAAGTTTTTGTTGACAAATTCATATTAAAATCGTTAAACTTGGCAATGCATAACAGAATTCATATTACACCAAAAAGTTTTTTTTTTTTTTTTTTTTTTTTTTTTTTTTTTGCATGATAGAGATTGAATGACAACCCGAATTTCTGACATGTGCTTTAAATACAAATCTGGCGACAAATCACCTAGCTGGCAAAATGTTTAATGCATCTACCAAAACAAAACAAAAAAAAGTAAAAATTAGAAAGATTTGAATTTTGATCTTTAATGTATTAGTTACACAAACTATTGACAATGCAATTCCCAGAGGAAGGTTTGAAGAACGTTCAGTGATTTTGCCAACTCTTCAACCTATGATATATGCAACAGTAGCAGATCTAAAGAGATTTCCTCATTAAATTACACAGAAAAACAAGAAAGATCTACAAGTAGGTCTAAAGACTTCACACTATTACTTTTTCCACGAAAGGAAGGTATTACTTGCAAGGAGGTTAAAAATAAAACTGTGAATTCAATTAATCCTACCTTATTACATACTAGCATGAAAAGATTAAAGAAGATTAATAATTAAAGAAGATTAAATTTGATAGAATGCTCTAAGGCTCTGGACTTAGAAGCTTTAGAAACAGAACTTAAATCAAATGAGCTACTTAAAAACCTAATAGTGATACAACATTCTGTTTTTTTGGTAACGGCATTGAGTTTAGATAAAAATTGTCATTCTTATATGTGATAAATGGATCTTTATTAGTCATACAAAATTATGGCTAGTACAAATCATAAAATGATAAGAATGGTTCAAATAAACTTACATGACACCAAAGCTGCTGCAAATCAATTGTACGTTAAAGCTATTGAAAGAGGCTACAAAAGAGGCTTTCTGTAGCTATTTTGAACAAGTGTTTCCAAAGGGGGATCTTTCCCAAATATTGGAAAGAGGCTGTTTTAGTTTTATTCAATAAAGAGAAAAAAGGATAAAGGTGATCCTTCTTTTTGCCCCATTTGCTTATTTGGGGCAAGGTACTGGATAAGCTTTATGACACAAAGATTATATTACTTATTAACAAATAATCTTTTTAAATAAGAATCAATATGGTTTTATGGCGAGTAAAAGTACAACCCTGGTAGAGAGAATTTAGTCTCTGAAACCCTTTACAACAGAAAGGGTGATAAGCATACTGCCATTCTATATTTAGATGTCAGTGCTTTCAATAACATTTGGTGGAAGATTTTGCTAAAAGAATTAAAGGACATGAAATGTCCACAAAATAGATTTTTATTGATATGTGATTTCTTGAATGAAAGGAAAGTTTCTTTAGATGATGGTAACAAATGGTATCAGATAAGTTATCAAAGGGGCAGCCACTATGGGTCAATATCGAGCCCACTTATATGAAACATTATTGCGAATGTTGCATTAAATCTTTGCCGCAGAACATCAATATACAACAGCAGTGCCCAACCTTGCGCTCGCGGCTCGCCGATCATTTTATATGTGCTTGCCAGCCCGATTAGGTACTATGAACAAAAAATATTTTTAAAATAACCATTCATTTGTATTTCTTAATTGTTAAAATATGGTAAGCATTTATAGTCATAAGAGATCTCTTGCAAGACCTTATAAAATAAATAATTGCTTGCAGACTGATGAACTTCATAGCGAACATGGAATCTTATTGCTTCATTACCATGTTAGATGGCTCAGCAGGGGAAAAGTACTTCAACGATTTGTAGAACTTCTTTCGCCAATAAAGCAGTTTTGGGAATCCAGAAACGAAAGTTAAAAAGAATTGGACGATTATAATTGGTTATCCAATCTCTATTTTCTCATGGATATAACAGCTAAACTGAACGAAGATCACCAAGGAAAAGAAAAAAAAAACCCTTTTTCAATTGATGGGACTGTAACTAATTTTCAGATAAAGTTAAATTTGTGGATAGATCAGATGAAAAAAAAAATTTCACCCATTTTCAGAATTTATCAAGCCATATTAATAACCATAAGGCAATTGAAACGGAGAAATACTCGGAAAACCTAAATGCACTGAAAAATAATTTTGAACTCCGCTTCTGATTTTCATAACGTTCAACCAATATTATTATTCATCTCAAACACATTTGCTAAAATTAATATTTCAGATGTATCACATAAGATTGGAAATATGTTTAACAAAAATGTTGATGTTTTGGAAATGTGCTCACGATAGGCCAAAGGTTGGGCCCCACGGTATACAAGCTTTTGCTGACGATTCTGTTTCATTAGCAATAGGGAGTGGCCATTGTACTACAGACAGTTCATTAAGTTACACTACTTAAGAATTGGAGA